TTAAGAGGGAAATCACTGATAAAGACTTTTGAGCACGTTAGGTGTCGCCTTGGTTTTTGCTCCATGTTGCAAAAATTAATTGTAGAATTTAATTGAAACTGATGAAATAGAGTTTTCCAATCATCTTTTATTTAAATAGTAGATTTTCAACTGCCGAAATAAATGAATTTGTCAGTGTTTACTTGAATTAAATTGTGGTTTCTAGAATTAATTTCCTTTGTTGAAATCTTCGAAAATCACATTACAACAATTCCCGCGAAATAATGAAAAATTTCAAACACGAGAAAAGTAGCGGCTGCAATGTACTGGTAGTGTTCTTTTATTTTCCTCTTTTGTTTCAAATTTATTTTTTCCCTCTGTGTAAAGGTGGGTCCTTCAAATATATTTTGCCCAGAATTAAGCTGGAGAAAGATATTGTCAAACCATAAGTTCACCTTTGAGCAGATCATGGCAAAATAAGCTATTTATTTGTCCGTCTAGTCATACCTCGAATCATATTATAAAGGATGATGGTAGCATTGGGTAAAACGTCAAGGATAGACTAGGATTAGCACAGCCATTGTAGAATAATATTATTCAGTAGGTGGTATATTGCAATCTACGAACTGAAGGACTCAATAGAAAATAATACATGGGGGCGCGTAGATGTGGAATCTCTCTTCGTATTTAGTTTTGAATTCGATTACGAAGATATTTCAAATGGTCAAGAAAGTATTTGACCAAATTTGCAGTCACCTCGAAGTTTGTCAAAATGTGCCGCTCCGCTTCGTATTTTCAATTGCATTCTCGATGTTTAAAAATGTGGTCAAATACGGTATTTCGTGTTTGATTTATTACGGCAATCAGTCCACAGCCCTTCCCAAACTTCAAATATTTGCCTTTTCCTGTTTCACAGAACAATTGTGACAACTTTGCTTTTCATCCACATTTCCGTTTCTTTCCCTAAGCAGTTTACTAAGATATCAACCCATATAATTAACTGTGGGTTGTTTTGACCTCTTGCAGAGCTTTGCTCTTTTAATTATTTCCTTAAGATGGGAATTCTAAAACTGTAAATGATGGGATTTGCGAGAGAAAGACTAAAAGTAATGGTACACATTTGAAAACTATTAATTGAAGGTGGCTCCTTTGGGAAATCACAGATTCTGAGTTTCGAGCAAGCTACTGTTATATTTTGAGAGCTATATTTTTTGCCTTAGTTTTAGCTCCAAGCCGGCTGTAAAATTTAATTACCAATGATGAATTATGTTTTCCAATCATCTCTGTTAAAATAATACATTTTAAACAACTCAAAGAAATAATTTTCTCAGTATTTATGTGAATTAAATTATCAGGATTTCTAGAATTTCCTTCGGTGAAATCATCAAAACAGTTCAACAATTCCGGCGAGATAAGAATTTTAAGCACGAGAAACGTGACGGTTGTAGTGTTTTGGCATTGGTTTGTTTTATTAATTGTGTTTCAAATTTTCTTTTTTCCCTCTGTCAGCAGATCGGTCAAATGGATTTTCCATAGAAACCAGCTGAAGGAAGATATTGCTGAACTGTAATTTCACCTTTGAGCAGATTATAGCAGAACAAGCTATTTCAGACTTGTCATACCAATCTTAAGCTCGAATCATATCAGAATGGATGAAGATAGCATTCGCTAAAAAGTCAAGAATAGACCAGGATTATATTAATTAGCACAGCCAATGTATAGAATGGAATTGTTCAGTAGGAGGTATATTGTAATCCACAAAAAGGAACTGATAAAGCAGGGCTATTGTCAGGTGACTAACATTTCTAAAGCCGAATACAGCTGAAGTCAGACAAGAGAGTGTTTTTCCGCAATTTGAGTATTAACGTTTTGTCCATAAATAGCTCAGATTTATCTTGGAAGTTTGTTGGACAAATGGGTGACTGCCGATGAAGAAATAAAATAGTGAGACAAAGAAAAAGTATAGGAAAGAGAACTCGTTGATCAACTTCAAGTTCAAGTTGACAAACAGCTAAGGTTTCGACCGGTCCACCCGACGCAGTTCAGCGATTTCTTTAGAAACTAATACCTTTGGGCAAAGATGCAAGAATTGTTACTGTAGTCGCAAACAGTCGTTGCCGGCCACTCGGCCTGCGTTCTACAAAAATCTCCTGAAAGAATTCATCATTTCCAACTACTGACTGGTATATTGATGAACCTGAAATTTTATTCTTAAACTCATACACGATTCTTCAAGCTTAAAGAAAGGAAATCTGGACTATGACGGTGTTTGGATATCTGATCCTGTCTAGAATATATTTTTACGATTTTATTTCCTCGTTTTCTCCTTAGATTAAGAAGATATTTCAAACGCGCAAAACAGTGTTTAACCACATTTCCAAAAATCTCGAAGTTTGTCAAAAATACTCTGCTACGCATTGGATTTTCAACTCTCTTCTCGGCCGCTTCGCGGCCTAACATATTCTACCCTGAAATTCATGAGGTCGACTTGTGGCAAGTCTAGGTCATTCGTTTGTTTTGTGGCAAGTCTAGGTCTTTTTGTTTATTTGCTTTTTTTGGTTTGATAAGGCACCATGCCATCGAGTCTTCCTTGTCAAACAAATGTTCAGAATGGCGATTTAGAAACCGACGGGCTCTCACCCACAAGAACACTTGTGGTAGCTTTGCTTGCTATCCACCTTCCGGTTTCTTTCCCCAAGCAGTTCTACTGAAATATCAACCAATATAATTAACTGTATATTTTTTTGACTTCTTCACTTCTTTCTTCTTTTAATTATTCCCTTAAACATGGGAATTCTAAAACTGTAAATGATAGGATTTAAATGAGAATTAGCCAGACTAAAAAGGTTAAAAATTTGAAATACAAGTAATGGAACACACTTGTAAAAGAGATAGTGAGTACAGTAGACTACAATACTCGGAATAAAAAAAAAAACAAGAGAGATGCAGGTAACACAATAAACAGAGTCCTAGAGAGTTTCGCGTTCTGTTGTGGTTCATCTAGTCTGGTACTGGCGCCATCCCTGGTGGGAGCTCTTGAGTGAAGTCTTGTTCGGATTACCAGATAAGACACACAGATCGTGAACCAGACTTAACGGCAGAGCTCCTGCCATCTGTGGCTCTTAGAACAGACAAATTGAACCGCAACTAACTAGGACTCTGTTTATTGTGATAACTGCACGTCTCTCTCTTTTTTTTTTGGATTCCAGGTATCGTAGTCTACTGTACTCATTATCTCTGTATCAAATGTGTTCCATTACTTGTATTTCACATTTTTACTATCTTTCGTTTGGCTAATTCTTTCGTAAATCATGTCATTTACAGATTTAGAATTCCGTGTTCAGGGAAACATTTAAACGAGTGAAACTCTGCAAGCAGTCAAAGAAATCAAGTTTTAAAAAAACTTGATTGAAGACAGCAACGGAACTGCTGTCTCGTCTCCAGGTGTCCCTCGTTCGTCTGAACGCGGTGCGCACGGAGTTATGGGTCACTTGCTAACCATCGAGCAACATGCAAAAACGCCTGGTGACAAGCCGCGGTCAGAAAGTTATCGCATATCAAGGCAATTACCATCCTGTCTTCGGAACATTACACAAAGAGGTTTGGAGAGAACTATTATGGTAGTTTAAATTTGAAATCATCTCAAACGTGAAATTCAAAATTTTAACAGGTAACAAGTAAAATTTTATATATTGTTGGAAATTTTGAATTTTGGTGTTGAACAATACATTGTGAAAATCAAATTTTGTCGTTGATAATATTGCAATTTTTCCTTCTTTCGCTCCTATTATTATATGAATTATTTAAAAATATCAATAATTTTTCCTTTCAGACTGTGCCGCCAAGATTAGCTTGGCTAATGCGAGTCCGCGAGTATACGATGTACTGTTCATCATGTCTTCATATGAGATGTAATTGCTTTAAAAAGAGGGCCAGGATACATTTACTTAGATACAAGTCCCGAGAATTAATGTTTGTTAGTTTTAGCTTTGTCTTTTCACTGAATTTTCACTCGTGAGGAGGGTCACAATTTATTGGAATGTATGAAAAAATTTAATCGCTCATGAGTTGACGCTACATAAACAAGTAACTGAAAGGGCCCTTTGATGAAACAGCACGATCTTCTGTAATCATGAAGCTCGTTGCACGGATGCTCTTAGAACAAAACCTTCGAATGGAAAAAAGAGATTTCATTTCTTTGTTTTCGTAAGTCAAACAGTTGTAAAAATACTAGTGCACAATTTTGACAATTGTTTTTTTAGTAATAAATCGTAACTCTGTCTGGAGCTTTTCCAAGCATTTACGGTTGAAACAGTCAATTTGGGCCGTGCTCTGATACGATGAATTGTTTTCGTTTGATTGGGTTGCTTAACGTTGCTTGTCTTTTTCCTGTCTTGTCTTAGTTAAAATGGATCGGCGAATCATGTCCGATACCATGCTTCAAGGTAAAATGGCTGGAAAAGTGTTTTATTGGGAAACATACGCCCCTGAATCAACCGAGTTTGATGCTGCCTGTCGGTAGCATGGTTAACAAAGTTATCAAGGCCTCAGTATTGCTACTGACCTGAGCCTTTACACTACATCAGCATATAAATAGACCTTACACAGTTTTCACACGCAATCATGCCAAAATCAAAACCAATCATGGTCAATTCGAACAATAATAATAGTAATACAATAATAATAATAATAATAATAATAATAATAACAACAGCAATAATAATAAGTGTTATAATGATGATAATAATGATAACAATAACAACAATAGCAATACCAATAACAATAATATTTTTGTAAAAAATTAATATCCAACACGTTTAATATACAAATATACAGATAACTCGTTAAAAAGAATGTCAAAAATTTAAAAATAAAAGTAATAATTTACATCATAGAATATCTTGTTTTCATATGAAGTTTGTTTTAAAATAATAATAATAATAATAATGATGATGATAATGATAATAATAATGACAATAATAATAAAGACAATAATAATAGAACAACAAAAGCACAAGTTATAGCTGTAGTATTCATTTTACTTACAACACAGACGTATCAAAAAAATGGCAAAGGCCATTCTTACACAAAGTGAGGATGGCAAATATCATAGAATTGTTAAATCATAAAGTAAAAATATACTAATAAAATTTGTTTTGTTGAAAAGAATTTTAAATATCTGTACAAGAAATACCTACACAGGCGCAACACATTAGAAAGTAGAAAACCGGATTGACTCGATCAGTCATGGCCATTGCTGATCTCAGTTAAATGGTTTCTGGTTCTGTTCGATGTCAAGAAGCCTTTTCGTAAACGAGCACTGACGTCTCTTTTCCAGGAACAATTCCGCCCCTGCTAGAGAGAGGTCTGGGATCCAACCTTGACGACGTAGCCGACTTGACGTCTGTGAAGAGTCTCTTATTGGTCTTTAATTACGCGCGAAAATTCGCAACTCAGCAAGAGCCAATCAGAGACGCTACTGCAGACACGCGTCATGGGAGTCGCCTGGGGAGACGTTATTCAAGCGAAAACAGGTCTGACAAAAAACAAAAAGAAAGAAAAACACGACAAAAACAACTCACGCAAAAGCACACAAAGAAACAAAAGTAACAGTATCAACAATATTGAAGCTTAATCCGGCAGGGTTCAGCTGTCACGTTTAAGAGCTGTTCAGTTAAGTTTAATTCTCAGGGTGAAGCAAGGTCGTGTCGGTAAGAAACCGAAAGAGCTTGCATTATAAGTTGTATAGTTTGTTTAATTTGCGTAAATAAATTTGGAGAGTAAAAGCCTTTAGCAACCGCTTCTGTAAACCAGCTACTAATGCAAGCGCAGCGTCTCGGAGGTTCGCAAATTCACTTTTGTGATAGCCTCGGGTTCTCCTTCTGTCGAAGAAACTCAACCCCAGTCACAGCGGTCATATTGTGTTCTCGGCCACTCAGCACTTGCCAACAACCCGGAAGTTGTTACATCTGGTTTCGTCATCGGGTTACGTCACTGTTGCTAAGCAACGTTTCTACCAAATCTGCGGGCTCACATAATTCTCAGCAAGGAGACTTCTGCTGAGACAGGAACTTGTTCCGATGACTGTAATGAACGCCATTTGAAAATAATTGCAGAACGATAAAAAAAAAATCGTTGTCAAGTTGAAAGCTCTCTCTCATTCAGAGCTGAAATGTTCAAATTAGAATATAAAATGCTCCTATAATATGATAAAAAACAGGCCGATGAATTCCCTCCATTACACCGTAGCATTGTGCGTGGGTTTCGCATAATCTATCGTGTCGTCTTCCAAATTATCCTCCGTTTTCTCCAGGCGCTCAGATGTTGCCATTGGGGACCCTAGACTGGGTACCATGGCAACCAGAATGAGTGCCAAACAGTCGGCTACTTGCGGGTTGGGGGCACAAGCGAGAGCAGGATTGTGTCCGTCCTCATCCTCGGCCAGCAAATTGCCTCCTCTTGCTATAAGCTCCTGTACAACAGGTACCAGGCCATTTCTAGCGGCTAAGTGTAGTGGCCTGTGGGAATAGCAAGTTAAACGTGTGTGTTATACGTTGTGCTCAGTAAAATTACGTGAAAATGTTGTACTAGTAGTAAACAACGCAACACGACACCATAATAGCAGATTTGCACGTTGTCGTCATTTGACTGCAACTGGCAGAATTCCTTTCGTTTTGTCTCGATGATTTAAATTTTGAAGCCCCAGAGGGGTTTAAATAACAATCGCCCTAATTAGCATAAGAAACAGAAAACGTGAAGGATTCTGGTAGTTGTAGTCAAATGACGCCATCATGCAAATCACCTATTACGTTTATTATTTCTTTTCAGCTATAACTCTTGTAACAATGGTTAAAAATAGTCGTTTTCACACATTTTATCGGCTGTTGGCAGTTTGTACTTACGTTTGAAGAGCGGTGTTGGCTAGACTAAGAGCGGAATCTTCCATTTTGTCCAGAATTAAGAGAGCGCAGGCCGTGTGACCCTGTAACAGAAGAAACACAGTTGATGGATGGATAATCTTTATTTATCCACGGTACAAAATTCGTCAGCTTTAAAAATACCTAATACTAATATAATCAGAAATATTTAAATAAAAAGCTGCTTCCCACGAATGCCGTGCCTTACAGTTCTTCTTTGAGTAGTCGTTTGAATTGCCCAAGGGACTCTGCTTCCCTTAAGTTACAAGAAAGACTGTTCCAGAGAATGGCGCCACTATAGCTAAAGCTATTTTTGTAATAGTCTGTGCGCGGTAATGGAACACTGAGTTTATTCTCAGAGTCCCTTAGGTCATATGCGATTTCTCGCCTTTCAAATTTAGAACTGAGATAGTCTGGAGCCAACCACAGCAGAGACCTGTAAACCATCGTAGCTCTTTGAAGTTTTTAAACTCAAAAAACCGTTACTGTGCTTCCTTTAGTCTTCTTAGGAATTTAATTATCCATTTGGATCTAAACTCTCCTCCAAAATTTCGGAAAAACGAAAAAAAACGTCGCCATTTCGTAGACGACCACTGCACTCTAATGGCTGACAGTATATGAGAAGATCAGACAATCAGACTGCAGCATTTGCATTAGTATACTAGTAGAATTCTACTAATCATGTACAGATAAACGCTTGGCTATTATAATAGCTATATGACGTTTAAAGCCAAGTCCGCAGTCCTGGAACGTTCCATCGACAAGATCTTTCTTCTAGAGGCTCCTAGACTCCACAAGAGCAGCTAAACATTGTTAATCTTGATGTCCTCAATAGACTGCGAGCAGTCTCTCTTTTGCTCGGAAATCCGTGGAGAAGAACGCAATAAAGAAAGCAAAACAGGTTTGATTGCGAGTGCGACATGCGAGCCGCAAGTAGCGCGAGCGGCTTGCGGCTTCGCATATGACGCTCGCACGCTTACGACCCACCGCTCGCGTGTGTTGCTTTCTTCGTTGCGTTCTTCTTCACGGATTTTCGAGCAAAAGAGAGACTGCTTGCAGTCTACGTCCTCAACCAAGAAATTTGCTTGTAACGTCAGAGAACAGTTGTTTCTTTATTGACTTATTGTGATGAACCATTTCCAATGGATTTAGTGACAATATATTACTCAAGTTTTACCGTTTGAATCACTCAACTAAGTTTAAATGCTTTCAGTTCGCATTAAGGGGCCGGTGGGTAGAATTCAAACGTGCGTGACATTCCCCCTACGTGTGTTGCACTTGATTTAAAATTTAACTCGTCGATCATAAACATATTAACATAAAACCTTTACTTCAACACGATAATAATCAAAGCTACAAAGCTTGCGGGGTCGTGTATACTAGTACATTAAAATACGTTAATTAAAATATATTCATGTAAAATACATGTGATTCGTTGCGTAAGATTTTTGTTCAGTACGTAGTATATCATACAGTAATCGTGTCAATTGCATCGATATTTTTTAGTTTATTTCATCAGTTACTTCAGTCCACCAGTTCATATCAATGGGAAGAAGTATCTGTAAGTTGTTTGTCTTTATCTTTTTGATTCTGTTTGTCACCTTTTCTTAGAATTATTGTAACCTATTGCTTTTCAGTCGAACACCACATGATTTAACCATAAAATTACCTCTAAATGAAAGTGTGCAATTTCTTTTGAAATTACTTCTCGGTCTGATGTCTACATTAGTTTAAAGATAGCCGCCGCTCAAGTTTACCAAGGCTTAACTGAAAGGAAATTATGGCCACGAATTCGAGTGAATCAACCACGCGCGATCGAGACGGGCGACCTGCATGTAATGTGATCCAGGACAACGAATGAATTCGACACGAAAAATCCCTTGAACTTTGCACAGCGAAGGCAACTATTACCAAGTAGATCAAAGAAGTTACGGAATACATTTTTTTTTCGAAAAAATAATTCGATGAGATACATTGGCATGGCTGTTACGTCATGTCATGACCATAAGTACGCATTGCGGACCTTCTTTTTAAATTTATTGTCAATGAACTCAGACCACAGGGGAAACGAACAACATAATCATTTACATTCATGCAAAATAAATTAACTGTTTATTCATTACGGCTGATTAATTAGCTGTTACTAGCTCTTCCTAGGTGTTTGTTTACAGCCCAACAATCTCCAGTTACATGTGATTTCTGTTCCCATTCATTTAACCCACTAACTCAGAAATCGTTGAGAGAGGCAGCCTTTTTAATGAATTCGCTAAAGAAAATGGTGGAAAGAGAACTTCAAACTATCTGGACGTACGTTCAAATATACTCTCCGAGAGGCTGGTCCGAATTTGGCTTACTTTTTTGCCATGAAAACAANTTCCATTACTTGTATTTCACATTTTTACTATCTTTCGTTTGGCTAATTCTTTCGTAAATCATGTCATTTACAGATTTAGAATTCCGTGTTCAGGGAAACATTTAAACGAGTGAAACTCTGCAAGCAGTCAAAGAAATCAAGTTTTAAAAAAACTTGATTGAAGACAGCAACGGAACTGCTGTCTCGTCTCCAGGTGTCCCTCGTTCGTCTGAACGCGGTGCGCACGGAGTTATGGGTCACTTGCTAACCATCGAGCAACATGCAAAAACGCCTGGTGACAAGCCGCGGTCAGAAAGTTATCGCATATCAAGGCAATTACCATCCTGTCTTCGGAACATTACACAAAGAGGTTTGGAGAGAACTATTATGGTAGTTTAAATTTGAAATCATCTCAAACGTGAAATTCAAAATTTTAACAGGTAACAAGTAAAATTTTATATATTGTTGGAAATTTTGAATTTTGGTGTTGAACAATACATTGTGAAAATCAAATTTTGTCGTTGATAATATTGCAATTTTTCCTTCTTTCGCTCCTATTATTATATGAATTATTTAAAAATATCAATAATTTTTCCTTTCAGACTGTGCCGCCAAGATTAGCTTGGCTAATGCGAGTCCGCGAGTATACGATGTACTGTTCATCATGTCTTCATATGAGATGTAATTGCTTTAAAAAGAGGGCCAGGATACATTTACTTAGATACAAGTCCCGAGAATTAATGTTTGTTAGTTTTAGCTTTGTCTTTTCACTGAATTTTCACTCGTGAGGAGGGTCACAATTTATTGGAATGTATGAAAAAATTTAATCGCTCATGAGTTGACGCTACATAAACAAGTAACTGAAAGGGCCCTTTGATGAAACAGCACGATCTTCTGTAATCATGAAGCTCGTTGCACGGATGCTCTTAGAACAAAACCTTCGAATGGAAAAAAGAGATTTCATTTCTTTGTTTTCGTAAGTCAAACAGTTGTAAAAATACTAGTGCACAATTTTGACAATTGTTTTTTTAGTAATAAATCGTAACTCTGTCTGGAGCTTTTCCAAGCATTTACGGTTGAAACAGTCAATTTGGGCCGTGCTCTGATACGATGAATTGTTTTCGTTTGATTGGGTTGCTTAACGTTGCTTGTCTTTTTCCTGTCTTGTCTTAGTTAAAATGGATCGGCGAATCATGTCCGATACCATGCTTCAAGGTAAAATGGCTGGAAAAGTGTTTTATTGGGAAACATACGCCCCTGAATCAACCGAGTTTGATGCTGCCTGTCGGTAGCATGGTTAACAAAGTTATCAAGGCCTCAGTATTGCTACTGACCTGAGCCTTTACACTACATCAGCATATAAATAGACCTTACACAGTTTTCACACGCAATCATGCCAAAATCAAAACCAATCATGGTCAATTCGAACAACAATAATAATAGTAATACAATAATAATAATAATAATAATAATAATAATAATAATAATAATAATAACAACAGCAATAATAATAAGTGTTATAATGATGATAATGATAACAATAACAATAGCAATACCAATAACAATAATATTTTTGTAAAAAATTAATATCCAACACGTTTAATATACAAATATACAGATAACTCGTTAAAAAGAATGTCAAAAATTTAAAAATAAAAGTAATAATTTACATCATAGAATATCTTGTTTTCATATGAAGTTTGTTTTAAAATAATAATAATAATAATAATGATGATGATAATGATAATAATAATGACAATAATAATAAAGACAATAATAATAGAACAACAAAAGCACAAGTTATAGCTGTAGTATTCATTTTACTTACAACACAGACGTATCAAAAAAATGGCAAAGGCCATTCTTACACAAAGTGAGGATGGCAAATATCATAGAATTGTTAAATCATAAAGTAAAAATATACTAATAAAATTTGTTTTGTTGAAAAGAATTTTAAATATCTGTACAAGAAATACCTACACAGGCGCAACACATTAGAAAGTAGAAAACCGGATTGACTCGATCAGTCATGGCCATTGCTGATCTCAGTTAAATGGTTTCTGGTTCTGTTCGATGTCAAGAAGCCTTTTCGTAAACGAGCACTGACGTCTCTTTTCCAGGAACAATTCCGCCCCTGCTAGAGAGAGGTCTGGGATCCAACCTTGACGACGTAGCCGACTTGACGTCTGTGAAGAGTCTCTTATTGGTCTTTAATTACGCGCGAAAATTCGCAACTCAGCAAGAGCCAATCAGAGACGCTACTGCAGACACGCGTCATGGGAGTCGCCTGGGGAGACGTTATTCAAGCGAAAACAGGTCTGACAAAAAACAAAAAGAAAGAAAAACACGACAAAAACAACTCACGCAAAAGCACACAAAGAAACAAAAGTAACAGTATCAACAATATTGAAGCTTAATCCGGCAGGGTTCAGCTGTCACGTTTAAGAGCTGTTCAGTTAAGTTTAATTCTCAGGGTGAAGCAAGGTCGTGTCGGTAAGAAACCGAAAGAGCTTGCATTATAAGTTGTATAGTTTGTTTAATTTGCGTAAATAAATTTGGAGAGTAAAAGCCTTTAGCAACCGCTTCTGTAAACCAGCTACTAATGCAAGCGCAGCGTCTCGGAGGTTCGCAAATTCACTTTTGTGATAGCCTCGGGTTCTCCTTCTGTCGAAGAAACTCAACCCCAGTCACAGCGGTCATATTGTGTTCTCGGCCACTCAGCACTTGCCAACAACCCGGAAGTTGTTACATCTGGTTTCGTCATCGGGTTACGTCACTGTTGCTAAGCAACGTTTCTACCAAATCTGCGGGCTCACATAATTCTCAGCAAGGAGACTTCTGCTGAGACAGGAACTTGTTCCGATGACTGTAATGAACGCCATTTGAAAATAATTGCAGAACGATAAAAAAAAAATCGTTGTCAAGTTGAAAGCTCTCTCTCATTCAGAGCTGAAATGTTCAAATTAGAATATAAAATGCTCCTATAATATGATAAAAAACAGGCCGATGAATTCCCTCCATTACACCGTAGCATTGTGCGTGGGTTTCGCATAATCTATCGTGTCGTCTTCCAAATTATCCTCCGTTTTCTCCAGGCGCTCAGATGTTGCCATTGGGGACCCTAGACTGGGTACCATGGCAACCAGAATGAGTGCCAAACAGTCGGCTACTTGCGGGTTGGGGGCACAAGCGAGAGCAGGATTGTGTCCGTCCTCATCCTCGGCCAGCAAATTGCCTCCTCTTGCTATAAGCTCCTGTACAACAGGTACCAGGCCATTTCTAGCGGCTAAGTGTAGTGGCCTGTGGGAATAGCAAGTTAAACGTGTGTGTTATACGTTGTGCTCAGTAAAATTACGTGAAAATGTTGTACTAGTAGTAAACAACGCAACACGACACCATAATAGCAGATTTGCACGTTGTCGTCATTTGACTGCAACTGGCAGAATTCCTTTCGTTTTGTCTCGATGATTTAAATTTTGAAGCCCCAGAGGGGTTTAAATAACAATCGCCCTAATTAGCATAAGAAACAGAAAACGTGAAGGATTCTGGTAGTTGTAGTCAAATGACGCCATCATGCAAATCACCTATTACGTTTATTATTTCTTTTCAGCTATAACTCTTGTAACAATGGTTAAAAATAGTCGTTTTCACACATTTTATCGGCTGTTGGCAGTTTGTACTTACGTTTGAAGAGCGGTGTTGGCTAGACTAAGAGCGGAATCTTCCATTTTGTCCAGAATTAAGAGAGCGCAGGCCGTGTGACCCTGTAACAGAAGAAACACAGTTGATGGATGGATAATCTTTATTTATCCACGGTACAAAATTCGTCAGCTTTAAAAATACCTAATACTAATATAATCAGAAATATTTAAATAAAAAGCTGCTTCCCACGAATGCCGTGCCTTACAGTTCTTCTTTGAGTAGTCGTTTGAATTGCCCAAGGGACTCTGCTTCCCTTAAGTTACAAGAAAGACTGTTCCAGAGAATGGCGCCACTATAGCTAAAGCTATTTTTGTAATAGTCTGTGCGCGGTAATGGAACATTGAATTTATTCTCAGAGTCCCTTAGGTCATATGAGATTTCTCGCCTTTCAAATTTAGAACTGAGATAGTTTGGAGCCAACCCGTGCAAGGACCTGTCAACCATCGTAGCTCTTTGAATTTGCTGAATTTTGAATTTGAATTTGGAAGACACTTTACTCTCACAGTGCCTCTCTCCACCCAGGTGTACGAATGGGTACCGGCGAATTTAATGCTGGGGATAACTCAGCGATGGACAAGCATCTCATTCGGGGGGAATACTCCTAGTCGCTTCGTGCTACAGAAACCGGCAGTATGGACCACTTAAGCCCGACACAGACTCCACAATGCTTTTGAGAAGTTGTTGTTAGATCAAGACAAAAACCCGCGGTTGATGATTCTTTCTATTCTTGTTGCTTGTTTGTTAGACAATGTAAGGATATCTCTCAATCAATCAATCCAATCAATCAATCAATCAATCAATCAATCAATCA